TAGAGAGGGGAAGAGAGAGAGAGAGAGAGAGAGGTGAGGAAAATGGAAGGGCAATGATTGGATCTTTTAAAGGAAGGAGGGATGGCATGTCCCACGACAGATCCTTGATTTCAGTCATTAAATCAAGGCCGTCCATCTGGATAGCGCCAGCTGGCGAGTAGGCCGACCACCTCTAAAACCAAACAAAGCTCACTCAGGGAAAAAAAATTCTTATCGACTCCGGCCGATTCGGGTTTGTTTTTATTTGACCTAACTCAGCTAATCACCAACCGCCACGTGGACGGCCCACCATGAATTACGCGCTGCGTATATAATATCAATATACGACAAATTAAAACACAGTGTTTAGAGCGGAAGCTTGGGGAGTTCTGCTTGTATTGAGGTTGGTGTGGGAAAGAGAATGGCATCGAGTGATAGTGGAGGTGGATAATCAAGTATGCGATCCAAAGTTCGAACATATTAAACACAGTGGATGGTTCAATCATAAAGGCAATACATCATATATATGTGCGAGACAGTGGACAGTTTCAGTTTCTCATGTCTTTCGTGAATCGAACTTCTGTGCCGATCAATTCGCCTCTATGGGACATAATTTGCCTATCGGTTTGACGGTCTTTGAGTCTCCCCTATCTGTCATGTCCGAGTTACTTTATGCTGATAGGATTGGAATTACAACCCCTCGTGGTTGCGTGATATAATTCAAAGTTTTAACTCCCTAAAAAAAAGTTATAAAAAATGTGTTTTTGTTACGATGATTTAATAGTTCGAAACATATAAATTCACAATTCAAAATATGCGTTTCTACTTTCTAATACTCCCTTATCCAAGGAAATTACCGGTCGTAGTAATGTGTGCATTGACTGATTTATTATTTAAAGAAACAAAATTAAAAACTTAAATACAAATCTTGCCAAATATAAAAAAAAAATACTAAATACATGAATTTCTAAATCTAGTATTTAAAAATATTTTCAAGAGTATATTATAAATGGATGGTAGAAATTTATAGTCTATAGATATAACATATGTTTGAACTTTTATAGTGGGTGGTAGGCTGGTAGCAGACCGTGACAATTAATTCATTATACGTATATCTTGGAATATTTTTGAAATGAAATAATTGTGTGGAATAATTCTTTTATAAGAGGGAAAATAGGAGTAAATAAAATATATTTTTTTCTTAAATAAAAAACCACCTTAGGTTCCAACCATATGTTCTAAAATATAAATCCAAGTGAAACATGAGTTAGTATACGCACGCAAGGACGGGCAATAAAAATTTAATCGTTAAATAATTTACAGGTTTCTAAAAAAAAAAATATTCCGACTATAAAATTTTAAAAGAAATAACAAAAACATTACAATCTAGAGCATATTAATGGACCGTATTTAGTTGTAGTTATATATGCATTTCGTGTTCTCGATTATTCTCTTGATGCCAAATCTTAAGAAAAAAACGAAGAGAGAAATTGCGAGCCTTAGTCCAAAATTTAGAATTTAAAATTGAGCCATACAGATTACATTATAATTATATAATAAATATAATATTGTCGCTCCCACACCAAGTTACGATATGAGAACTATCGAACTATTGTAAACGATGAATCGAAAGTGCACACAGAATTTAACGTGTTCGGATTCACTTCGAATCCTACTCACGACCAAGTAAGACTTGGCAAATCCACTAGGACGATGATTGCGAGATTACAGCCAAGCTAACTCACACAAATCTTGAGAGCTCAATCAACAATGGAAGAAAATAATTTCTGGGAGAAAACTGAGAAACATAGAAAAGTTGTAGAGGTTGAAGACGACACATTTGATTTATATCCTTGAGTCTTGGCCCAACGGAATTAATCAATTGTCTTTGTCGAATGTCTCTTTTACCCTTCTTCTTATTTATCCAACTTACTCAATACGCACCATTTTCCTCCATCACCTTTGTTTGAAAACTTCTGTTTGCGTCAGAGGAACTCCATTGCTGAATATCTTCGACAAACTCCACCTTGTTCGGTAATGGTGTCCTGTCTTTCGTGGATTTGTAGCATCTTACTTGGTATCTACTGAGTTTCCTACTCAGTTACATTCAGCAAGTTCAACGCCTCGTTGAACTTGCCTATAGGTAGGGTTTTGGTGAGTATGTCTGCTGGATTTATTTCGGATTTGATCTTCAACACCTGATTCTGCCACAATGTCCCTCAAAAAATGCAACCTGATATCAATGTATTTGGTTCTTTCGTGATGGACGTTGTTTTTCGCCAGACAAATGGCGCTCTGAGAGTCGCAATGGATCTTCACAGGTTCAAGTTCGATTCCGAGCTCTTATGACAAACCTTTCAGCCATAAACCCTCTTTGAATGACTCCGCCAAGGCCATGTATTCTGCTTCTGTTGTAGATAGCGCAACTACATGTTGTAACGATGATTTCCAACTGATTACGTTCCCACCTAATGTAAAAACGTACCATGTTATTGATCTTCTTCGGTCGAGATCCGAAGCGAAGTCTGAGTCGCAATATCTTGTAATTCCGAATCTTTCATCATTTCCTGTGTAGACCAATTTGAGATCTAAGCTTCCTCGGATGTATCTTAGTATCCATTTTACTGATGCCCAATGATCTTTGTTAGGTCTGTACATAAATCTGCTCACCAAGCCTACGCAGTAAGCTAAATCCGGTCTTGACCCTATCATCACATACATGATGCCTACTACTGCATTGACGTATGGAGTTGTGTCTGGGTCGAGAGCTTCCTCATCATCCTTTGTACGGCAGAGTCTGAAGTGAGCTCCCATTGATGTTTGAACTGGTTTTGCTTCTGACATTCCGAAGCTACTCAGAACTTTTTGGAGGTACCCCTTCTGTGATAATGCCAAGGTTCCTTCTGACCTATTTCTTGTTATATCAATGCCCAATATCGGTTTTGTCTCGCCTAAATCTTTCATTTCAAATTGTCTTGCTAGTAAATCCTTGACTTCCTGTAATTCTGTCTTTTTCCTGTAGCCAAAAGCATGTCATCTACATATATAAGTAAGTATATGTAGGAACTTTCTTTACCTTGTTTAAAATACATGCAGAGGTCATGTTTACTGCGAGTAAACCCTTGCTGGATCATGAAACTATTGAACTTCAAGTTCCATTGACGTGGGGACTATCTCAAACCATATAAAGATTTCTTGAGTAGGCACACTTTTTCCGACTTTCCACAGATTTCGAAACCTTCTGGATGATCCATAAAATTTTGCTCCTCTAATTCCCCCTGTAGAAAGGCTATCTTGACGTCGAGCTATTCGAGTTCAAAGTTCTTGATGGCTACTAAGGACAACAGTAGTCTAATACTTACGTGTTTGACCACCGGCGAGTATATCTCGTTGTAGTCTATCCCCTCTCGTTGTGAATATCCTTTAGCCACTAATCTAGCCTTGAACCGAGGCTTCTTCACTCTGGGAATTCTGGGTTTTCTTCTGAAAACCCACATACAACCTATAACTTTCTGGTTTTCACGTCGATTAACTAATAGCCATGTTCTGTTTTTCTGCAAAGAGTGCATCTCATCTTGCATAGCTTGTAGCCAGTTTTCCCGATCCTTAGTGTGTAGAGCTTGTACATATGAATTTGGTTCATACATTTCTAGTTCGTTTGCTGCTGTCAATGCGAATGAGAGTGTGCTTTCTTCTCTAAACCTTCTGGGTGGATGAATCTCCCTTCTGTCTCTATCTCTGGCTAGCTGATAGTCCTGTAGGCTACTTGCATATGTATGTTGATCTTCTGTTTCTTGTGTTCCTTCATCTTCAGTTTCCTGTTCTGTTGTCAGTTCATTCCATAACTGATTTCCCCCCCCCCCCCCC